GGGCCGGGAGGAAAGTATTGTTGGGTTGGTTCCCTACCTGCATTTTCCCTCCCCACCCACCCTTTGCATGCATTTCCGAGTTGGTACAGTGCCACGTCAGCAACAGTGCCACGTCAGCAGTGCCATGTCAACAGTGCCACGTAAGCAACAATGCCACATCAGCAGTGCCACGTAAGCAACAATGCCACATCAGCAGTGCCACGTCACAGTGCCACGTCAGCAGTGCCATGTAAGCAACAGTGCCACGTCAGCAGTGCCACGTCACAGTGCCACGTAAGCAACAGTGCCACGTGAGCAGTGCCCCGCCACCATGACGGGCGCAGCTCTGGGCATGCCAGGCCAACTAGCCAACGAGTCTATTGCCGACTACAAACAGCGGTTCCAGACTCAGCTCGCACTGATCGAGGCTGAGGAACAGCGCCAGCTGGCAGCCGAGGCTGCCCGCCTACCGGCTGAAGCAGCGGCAGCAGCTGAGAAGCAGCGGCTCCAAGCCGAAGCTGAAGCAGATACCCAGGCACGCCACAAGGAAGCCCAGGATCTGCTGCAGCGGCACGAAGCCGCCAGCATCGAAAGACTCAAGTTATGGCACTTTCAACCGTCCAACGGCGACAACGCGACACCGGAGGAGCAGCACAAGGAGTTCACGGCCAAGCTCATGACCAAGATGGTCTACTCTATTAACCTTCTGCAGTCTGAGCTGGCAAATCTCCAGCGGGCCATGAGGACCTACAAGGCCCAGCACGAGGATGCGACACGGGCACTTGATTCCCGTATGCACGACCTGGAGCAAGCTGCACCAGGACCGCAGGCTGGCGAGTCCAGCAGCGCACCCTCGAACCGCGAACTGGAGGAACGCGTTGACCGCGTAGTGGCAATGCTTGGTGACATCAGTACCTTCACAGCGGCAGCCACCATCAGCCAGCGGCTCAACGATCTGGATGCCAAGTTCGGGCAGCAACCGCAGCCATCTGAGCACAGCACCAACAACAGCTCGGCGAAGCCGTACAAGATGCCGACGTTTCGGATCGAGAAGTTTGACGACTACACTCATCAGGACCCAGTCGTCTGGTGGCAAGGATTTACGACGGAGTTGGGGATTCATGAGGTTCCCAACCATCTGTTCATCAGTGCGTTGTTCCTCAACACCAAGGGAGGATGCCAGATCTGGCTCAGCCACATGGCAAACATCCACGGCGTCCAGGTTTCGGACCTGTACAAGACGGTCCCTTGGGAGGTCATGACGAAGGAGTGGAAGAAGCGGCTCATAGTGGACGACGCACCTGCGCTCGCCATCAACCGCATCTTCGCGATGGCTCAAGGGAGCACACCGACACGTGACTGGCTCAAGGATTGGCAGAAGATCGTGGCCACGCCCAATCTGGACTTACCGTTCACACATTTGCGCCGTGAGTTCTACAACAGGTCATGCGCCGCTCTCAGCCTCGCACTTGGTGATCGCGAGTAGTACATCACTTTCGCAGAGATCATCAACAAGGCGAGAGAGATCATCAAGACCAACAGGCCGGTTGCACACGAGAAGTCAACATGGCAGCCGACCTATGTGGAGAAGGTAAAGACTGGTCCGCGGCCGCAGCATGTCGCTGCAGTCCAATCGGATAGTGGAGAAGACCCAGCAGCCGCCCAAGCATCACGTAAGGGAGATCAGGTGGCTGCTGTCCAGCCGCGAAGCAACGAAAAGTCTCGAGGAAACGGGAAGGCGAAAACCGCATCGCCGGCCGGAAACGGACAGCCAGCACCATGGGTCAAGTTTCACTTGACCGAGACCGAGTACAAGTACCGCGGCCGTTACGGCTGCTGCTATTGGTGCAATAGCACCAAGCACAAGACCTCCCTCTGTCAGGATCAGGGCATGGAGGATGTTCGGCCTTGCATCAACTCGGGAAACTGAGTTGCACGGAAGGTGAGATGACTCCACCTCTCATTCCGCTAGATTCGGCCGCCTTGCTAGCGGCCTCCTACACATCTGGGGAGGATGCGAATGTCGTGAGTTCTCCGTATGCTTACGAGGACTATGCTGTCCACTTGGTCCCACCGTTGGACCAATCGCTCCACGTGCAACAATCTACCGGATGCACAGTTTCATCACCATCGACAACCGACTCGGCAGCTTCGCCGCCATCTACCGCCAGGGATTCAACGTCATGGTCAAGACTTGAAGAGCTCGACCCGTTGACATTTGCGGACTTCCAATGGATGCCCCTTCCCCGGTCCGATCGAAACCGCATTGCAATGTGCTCATGGCACAATTGCGGGATTACTTGCACACTGCAGTACCAACTCCGTTGATGGACGCCGGAGTAGAGGTTGTCGACCTTCACGCCTACATTGCGAAGATCGACCGCGAGTTCAAGACACAACGGTACGACGACATCGACGCACCATTTTATATGTACGCATTCAGATCGGAGAGGCGACCTGCAACGCTTTGATCGATTGCGGAGCATCTCGCAACTACATGAGCCAGGACTTTATGGTACGCGCCGGCCTTGGCCCACGCGTCCAGAGGAAGTCCCAGCCGACGCAAGTCACGTTGGCGGACGGTCACACGCACAAGTCAATAGACCGGTGCATTGATGACGTCCCCGTGTACTTTGCCCCGCACGCGAGCGAGGCGGTGTCCTTCGATATTTTGGACACCAAATTCGACATGATCTTGGGCATGTCATGGCTGCGAAGCGAGGATCACCCGGGAAACTTCTACCGCCGCACCGTTCACGTTCGTGATCGGAACGGAGTACTAGTCCCATGCACGGTAGCTCCTCCTCACCCTTCAATCAGATGTCACGTGGTGTCCGTCGCAAGCATGCGAGCTTCCATCATCAGAGACGACATCGAGGAGATGGGGGTGTGTTTTCTCCACGCCCTCCCGCCCCAGGATGCTTCATCGACGGACTCATCTTCGGACCCACGCATCACCAAGCTTGTCGACGCGTACAGCGACGTGTTCGAAGGCCCGCACGGAGTCGACCCATCCACCACGAGATCATCCTCAAGGACGGGGCCGTACCTCCGCGCGGTTGCATCTACCGAATGAGCGAGGAAGAGTTAAGTGTGCTACGGGCACAACTCGACGACCTTCTAGAGAAAGGCTGGATACGGCCTAGCTCATCGCCGTACGGTGCTCCTGTTCACTTCGTCCGGAAGAAGAACAAGGATTTGCGGTTGTGCATCGATTATCGCATCTCAACGCACAAACGATTAGAAACGCCGCCCCTCTTCCACGCATCCACGACCTTCTCGAACGGCTGGGCGGCACCAAGTTCTTCTCCAAGCTGGACCTCAAGTCGGGATATCACCAACTCGAGATTCGGAAGGAGGACCGCTACAAGACCACGTTTAAGACGCGATATGGGCATTTCGAATGGCTGGTTATGCCATTTGGCCTTACGAATGCCCCGACCACTTTCCAAGCGGCTATGACAACGGAGTTCCGACACATGCTGGATCGATTCGTACTTATCTACCTCGACGACATCCTGGTGTACAGCCGGAGTTTGGACGAGCATGTGGAACACCTGCGCACCGTTTTGGAGCAGCTACGACAAGCCAAGTACAAAGCCAACCGCGACAAATGCGAATTCGCGCGGCAGGAGCTGGAGTACTTGGGACATTATGTGACGCCGCAAGGCATCCGTCCGCTGGCGGACAAGATCGAGGCCCTCCGCGTATGGCCCGAGCCCACCAACACCACGGACGTTCGTTCATTCATGGGGTTGGCGGGCTACTATCAGCGATTCATCACCGGATACTCAAGGATTGTTGCACCTATGACGAGATTACAATCGCCAAAGGTGCCATTCGTATTCGATGACAAAGCACGCCAGTCATTCCAAGCACTTAAGACGGCCATGCTCATGGTACCCGTCCTTAGCATCTATGACCCCACCCTGCCTACGAGAGTGACAACTGATGCTTCCGGCTATGGCATTGGGGCAGTCTTGGAACAACACGACGGCGACGACTGGCACCCTGTGGAGTATTTCAGCCACAAAGTGTCTCCCATCAACTCACTTGATGATGCAAGGAAGAAGGAGTTGCTCGCGTTCGTGATGGCTCTCAAGCGATGGCGGCACTTCCTCCTTGGGCGTCGTAGGTTCACATGGGTTACGGACAACAACCCACTGACTTACTACAAGACGCAGGATACTGTGAGCAGCACGATCGGACGATGGATGTACTTTATCGACCAATTTGACTTCACACCGAAACATATTCCCGGCCTCTCCAATCGCGCAGCAGATGCACTCTCGCGAAGACCTGATCTTTGCGCTATGACACATCATGCCTTCGCATTCGACGAGGAACTTCAGCGACACTTCATCCGGGGATATGAGTCGGATCCGGACTTCGCCACGTTGTATGCGCAGCTATCTTCGGATCACCCGCCGGCCAGCCACTATCGCATTTCCGACGGGTACTTGCTCCGCCACTCGAGAGGCAAGGACTTATTGTGTGTCCCACGAGACCGTCGTCTTCGGACTCGCCTTCTCAGTGAGTATCATGACTCGCGACTCGCCGGCCATTTCGGAGTCAACCGCACAATTGCATGGCTTCGACAACGATTCCGATGGCCCGACCTCATTACCGATGTCACTCGGTATTGCGACTCTTGCGAAGTTTGCCGACGAAGCAAGCCCCGCAATCGCAACCCCTACGGCGAGTTGCGCCCGATGCCTATCCCACGGGAACCCGGCCTCTCCATTGTCATGGATGTCACCGGACCATTCCCCCGCGATCGCCTCGGGCACGACGGCATCCTCACGGTTGTGGACCGTTTGAGTAAGTATGCGCATTTTCTCCCTTGCAAGTACTACTCCACGGCTCCCGAGCTGGCACGCCTCTTGCACACCGGTTGGATTTGTGGCCACGGTGTACCGGAAGACATAGTCAGCGACCGCGACACTAGCTTCATATCGGCATTTTGGACTGCTCTCATGCAGGAGTCCGACACGAAGATGAAACCAAGTTCGGCTCGGCATCCACAAACGGACGGGCAAATGGAGCGGGCACATCAAACCGCTCAAATGATGCTTCGTACGCTCATCCGTCCGGACCAGAAAGATTGGGTTGACCGCCTCCCCGACATCGAGTTCGCCTACAACACTTCGGTGCACCCGATGATCGGCGTGACTCCATTCAAGTTGCACCACGGTGGACGGAAAGGCCGTATCTTCGTCGACCTTCTCCTCCCACGACCAGCCAACATCGACGCCGCTTGCTCTCCCGCTTCCGTTCGGAAGTACAGGGAATTGCTGGCTCAAGCCCGCGCGAACATGCAAAAGGCTCAAGTCCGCATGCAGCAGCAAGCCAACAGGCGTCGCGTGCCATGTCCCATCYGCGCCGGTGATCTGGTTTGGGTCTCCGCGGAAGAGTTTGCACTGGAACAGGACGTTTCACGCAAACTGCTTCCCAAGTGGTTTGGACCATGGCCCGTAACAGCAGCCGCGGGCGATGAGCCCGATGGCCCTTCATTTGTGATCAACATCCCCGCGCATCTGACGGTCCATCCAGTCTTTCATGCCTCGAAGCTGCCGACATATACACCAGCTAAGAGTGACGATTTCCCGGGCCGACGATCGCAGGACCCTCCATCTATGGATGGTCATCAGGAGGTTGACCTCATCATCACGGATCTCAAGTGCGGCAACAAGCCTCGACAGTACAAAGTTACATTCAGAGCATGCGATCTCGACGACACTCGGTGGATTTCAGGAACAGATTTGAAAGCATCCGCACCGCTGATCTACGCTCACTAAGAGCGACAAAGGTTAGCTCAGGGACCTTCACGACCTGCCCCTCCCACCCGGACTGTGGTCCCTCCCTCAAACAGACAGCTTCACCCTCACAGGTAAGCTCGGTCTTTCAAGGAGGGGGGGGTGTGGCATACTGTGTAGCCACACGGGCCTGCAGGGCCTGTCCCGCAGTCTCATCCTAAAAGCCTAGAAATAAGGGCTTACAGGCCCCGTGTCCGTGTCAACCTGACAGCCTGAAAACCAGGGCCTACAGGCCGCGTGGCTGTTTCAGCCTGACGGCCTGAAAACCAGGGCCTACAGGCCCCGTGGCTGTTTCAGCCTAACGGCCTCAAAACCAGGGCCTACAGGCCCTGTGCCTGTTTCAGCCTGACAGCCTGAAAACCAGGGCCTACAGGCCCCGTGTCATTTCAGCCTGACAGACTGAAAACAAGGGCCTATAGCCCCTCAGGCTTTAGCCAAAAGCTACCTGGTAGCCAGAAGCTACCTAGAAACTTCCCGGAAGCTTCCTCAAGGTCTAGCACGTTTGGGCATTGGCAAGAGCAGCCTCCTGGACGGGCCAGCACTATATAAGACTGGCCCGCCCTACAGGCAAGGTAGTTGGACAGTAGGCACGAGTAGTCTTCAGGATTCGGCCGCAGCACTCAGGAGGAGCGCTGCAGGAGGTAGCTTAGCACTTACAGTAGTCTTCAGCGCTGGGCACTAGTAGCCATAGCAGTAGTCTTCAGCGCTGGGCGCTACTAGGTGGTAGTGGTAGTGTGGGAGAGAGATGGCTGGCGGAGGCCAGCGAGACTTACCTGTGGCGCCATAGCTCCAGCTCCATCTTCGAGGTTCCTGCATCAAGGCGCCAACTTCACAGGTTAGTACCGGACTGAGAGAGAGAGAGAGAGAGTGCTTCTTCTTCCTCTTCTAAGTCCACCATCTCTTCTTCCCCTCTCACCATCTGACTTCTCAGTATCAGCGGACTACTACAGAGAGAGAGAGAGTTGTGACTTGAGACTTGACGACATTGGATCCAGACATGACATTGGGATTCAGACATTTGACGAGGGACTATTTGGGCCTGTGCCGAAGACTTGGTGTTGACGACATTCCCATCTTACCCTCTTCTTCGTCTAACCCCTCTCTTCTTCGTCTGCGTATGGTTCGGGGCTGGTGCATTCTTCCTGTGTGAGCGCCAGACCCCTTCACACCATGGGGAGGATGATGATGACGTATGTTCTGGGCTGCATTGCAATATTGATTGTTCGGATCATTGGTATCTAAGTTTTCCGCTGCGCTATCTTGTACTTTGTATTGAGAGGTCGGTTCTTGTTGTGGTCTGCACCATTACAGTATGCAACAGCAGCGCTCCTCCAGAGTGCTGCTGCCGAATCCTGAAGACTACCTCCTGCCTCCTGAACTGCACGTGAAGTGCATGGGAAGTCCCCTGTGAACTACCTGCAGCCTGCAGGGCAGGCCAGTTAGTGTTGGCCCGTCCAGGAGGCTGCTCTTGCCAATGCCAAAACGTGCCAGACCCTGGTGTTGAAGTTCAACAAAGGTTGTCTTGAAAACAGGCCCAAAATGGCATGTGCTAAAACCCTCGTCTGGTGCCTAAGTTTCAGGGCAGGTCGATCTTATGAGCGCCTGAAAATGGCCCTCCGTTTCAGGCTGAAAAGACTTAGGGCCTGGAGGGGCCTTTTTAAGGCTGAAACGACACAGGGCCTGCAGGCCCTTGTTTTCAGGCTTTCAGGCTGAAACGACACACTGCCTGAAAATGGCCCTCGTTGCAGGCACAGCATGTAACACAGTACGAGTGCAAGAAGGACCTGTCATGGACCAATTTTCAGCCAGTACGATTGCAAGAAGGACCTGTCATGGATACATATGACAGTGGGCATGCGATCTATATTTTGGTGCGGATGGGATGCAGTCTACCTTGAATTTGGTGGGCATGAGATCTAACCTCAAGTTTGGTGGCAACCACGATGATTGGACAGATGTGACGTTATGGCCTGCTCCCTTCCCTGGAGGTACTGAACGAAACCTCGTCGACGGGGATGATCAGAATCTCTTGCCAGTTAAAACCGAAAGATTTATGATCATATTTTGTTAACTGTTCGTATTTTGTTTGTTTCATTATTATGTTCTCTCAAGTACCAGTGTTCATAATCTCCTTAATAGAATCAAAAGTTTCAAAACGTATTTCAGTAAAAACCTGTATCAAAAATTGCCGTTCGTTTCTCTTTTTCTCAGTCTTAATAGCAGCTTGTTCAACTCCTCCAGAGTCACATTTGGTAATTCATCAGTGCGCTGTGCCATCATCAGCGAGCTGTGCCATGAGGCCACAGGCCTTCCAGGCATGGATCGGGTGAGCGAAACTCTCACGCACGAGTTGTGTGACAGCAGATCATTCTTCACTGTCACACAAGAAGAGCTAACCCAAGGGATCGAATGGGAGGGGAACGGCTACAGACTCATTCTTGGGCCACAGTGAGAGACAAGAGAGGCGAAGAAATCGATCCAGCCTCTTCTGATAAATGGTGCGATTGAGATCATGATCGGGCGTCAGGCATGCTTGCTAGATCATCACTTGTCTGTCCGGAAAGGCAGCTGAGCAGCGTTTGCACAGCCATCAGACTGGACCTGAGCAGTCAGTCGTCACATGGAAGAGACGAGGCAGAGAGTACTGACATGCTCGCCAAGCATTTGGAGTACAAAGCTGACATTTCAAACCTTGGCTGATGATGATGAAGGAGAGGCTTCAGGCGCTCCGCAAGAACAAGAAGCTGATCATGTCATCCGGTCCAGTCAATCTATGAAACAGCTTAGCCAGAAAATAGCCTGGTTAGACCCTGGGAGGACACTTGCGTTGTTCTGTTAAAATTAAAAAAAAAAACAAAAAAAAAAGCCTAGTTAGCCAGGAATAAACTACTGCATTCACGAGTGGGGAGCTTCGCCTGCCGGAAACGGGGTCCAGCGTCCCTTATACAAAGAAATACAAGATATTGCTGGCAGCTTTACCCAGTATCGCTTAGGGTGGACACAGCAGCTGGGCCTCTAACCAGGGCTGAAAAGTGGGGATCCCTGTTAACCACTTGTGCAGCACTGAGGCTGTCAAATCTACTCCCAACCTAGTCCTGCTGTGTCTCCCTTCGCTACCTACTACTTTCCCCTCGCTTACTCCCCTCCTTCCAACTGGTTGGTCATCCTCGTGGTTGCCCCTCCCCCAGCCTAGTTGTACCTTAAACCCTAAGCCCTTATCCTCCGCTACCATCCACGGGAAGATCTCGATCCCCGTTGGCTCTCCTACAGCAACGCGACCGATCTTCACCGGATGCTTTGAAAGAAAAAGAAAAAAAGTATTGCATTCATAAAACTGGGCACAGCGTATCCAGGCTCTCGACTTTTGTTTCGCAGAGGTTCGCCTATCGCCTTCATCATATTGTTTCTGTCACTGTCAATTTACTCACAAGCCATCTGGTGTCCGAAAGAAACGGACTTTCGGCATTGGTTTGCAGATGGTCGATTTGCAGTTGATGTGCGAGTGCCGAGAGAGGATCCGTGCCGTGGATGGTTGGAAGGGGAAGGGGATAACTCTTTGAAATGAGGACGAGCGCCAGTGCTGGACATTCGTCAAGAGGACGAGTGCGAGTGCCGGGCATTTGTCAAGTGAACCATCTTTACCGTGTCTCTATGCTCGTGAAAGCCGGTTGTGCTATCACGATCGGCCTCCACCAGATTGCGCCAAACCTGAGTGATGTGGGCAACTGGTCAAGCTTTGTAATTGGGGCATTGGGACAGTCTGCCATGGATTTCGTGGACGTGGAAGAACTACAGAGAAGGATTGATGCTCCAGGGAAAGACGGCTTCTGAAGGGATGACAGCCCCAAAAATAGCATGCAGCGTCGGCAAGCAGTGGCTTGGCTGGCGAGGAATCTGGAAAGTGGTGAGGTATGGGAGCAGTTCGGACTCATGCAGGCGAAGTACAGAGGGTCAAGCGCTGTAGCTGCATGGGTTTTCCCCATTTATGAACTGCAATAATGTCAGGTCGATTTAAAGGTTTGTCCAATTCAGGTGTTAACCAAGGTACCGACGAGCCTAGCTCAAGTTAGTACACCCATGAACTGTTGCATTACAGACCTAAGTTTGAATCCTCATGGACCTTCATGAATGCAATCAAATAATTCAGAATTGCCTGGGGCCGGCCAACTCAAATCTCGATGACGATATCTCAAGACTGTCCCCCTTTTGAAAAAGACAAAAAAAACAGATGTTTACCAAGGGGCAAGAAATGGCCATTTTAAAGGCTCTGCAGGAGAGAAGCAGAGAATGGGTTGAAGTGCTTTAGACATAGCAAGTGGACCCGCCGCGGCAATGCCGCGGCCACAAGAGTTGGAGAGCTGCAAGCAGGCGGAAGGCATGCGACGTTCGGGCAGCGCACGAAACAGACACGAAAGAAGAGATGTCGGAGGATAACCGGAAACTGGGGAATCTCTCTCTCTCTCTCTCTCTCTCTCTCTCTCTCTCTCTCTCTCTCTCTCTCTCTCTCTCTCTCTCTCTCTCTCTCTCTCTNCTCTCTCTCTCTCTCTCTCTCTCTCTCTCTCTCTCTCTCTCTCTCTCTCTCTCTCTCTCTCTCTCTCTCTCTCTCTCTCTCTGTCTCTCTCTACCCCCCGTATGTGTGTGTGTTGTTTTAAAAGACCCCAGATTCTCTCTCTCATTCCCTTCACAAATCATCACAAGCCATCCATATAACAAAATGGTTAGAGATAATAATAAAAAAATGCAAGGTTGGCCACGTTTGTGTGGTTTAGCGCAAAGTGCCCACACACCCATCTGCCGCCAAAACGGCACACTTGCACATATACATATGTATACACATATATTTAAAAGTCCATAAGGGGATGGAGGGCAGAAGGCAACTTACCTAAGACAGAAGACTACTCCAGCAAGAAGGCACCGACCCGACCCCCTCAAAGGTCCAAAAACACTTGGGGAGCCTTCCGCATCGGCCCACAAAACCAAAAACTCATTTACCAAAAACAAACAAATATAACAGCATTGGCATTCCTGCAATCATTGTCTCGATATCACTCCCAACATGCATACATGTA